TGTTGAACAACTTTTGGCTAAGTGTTGTGGACCAGAAAAAGGATACAAAGCCAGCAAGCCCCAACCTCTGCTTCAGGGATCTATTCTGTTTGCTGTTGTTTTCTTTCTTTTTGGCTTTTCAGACAAGGTTTCTCTGTGTAGCCCTGGCTGTCCTGGCACTCGCTCTGGAGACCAGGCTGGCCTGGAACTCACAGAGATCCACCTGCCTCTGCCTCCCGGGTGCTGGGATTAAAGGTGTGCGTCACCACCGCCCAGCTGGTGCTGCACACTTTTGATCCCAGCACTTGGGAGGCAGAGGCAGGCAGATCTCTGTGAGTTCGAGACCAGCCTGGTCTAAAAGAGAGAGATACAGGACAGCCACCAAAGACACAAAGAAGCCCTGTCTCGAAAAACCAAAAAAAAAAAAAAAAAACGTGTGCAGCACCAGGAGAGGGAAAGACATAGAAAACAGAGCAACAGAATCAATGTGGATCATGAGAGCTCTCGCTCCTTAACTGGGCTACACCAGGGCCTGCAGGGCTAGTTCATTCCTTTAATTTCCCACCTTTGTTAAGAGGTTAGTATTGGTTTTTATTTCCCCAATGGGCTGAGAATGTCCCTCAGTGAAAAATCTTCCCTGGAAAGTCTGAGGGTAGGGAAATTGGCACATTGTAATCTCAGTACTTGCAAAACCTGGAGTTCCAGGATAGCCTGGGCTACAGAAGTCCTTGCTTAAGAAAAAAAAAATAGTAATTAAGAGGAAAAAAAGAGGTTGAGGAGGAGGCTGGGACTGTAACTCTGACAGTAGATTTGCTGGCCTGTGTAACTCAGATGGTAGACTCGATCGCCTGACATACACAAAGCCCTGGGCTAGATTCTTGCCATGGTAGTGACCACATGTAACACTAAGGTTCTGGAGATGGAAGAAAGAGATTCAGAAATTCGAACAGGGAAGAAAGGCAGGACTTACTGACGCATGTCTTTAGTCCCAGCCCTTGGGAGGCAGAGGCAGGTGGATCTCTGTGAGTTTGAGGCCAGCCTGGTCTACATAGCAATTCCAGGACAGCCAGGGCTATGTAGACAGAACTTGTCTCCAGAAAAAAAAAAGAAATAAAGAAAGAATTAAAAGAAGAATGAATAAACAGAAGAGAGAGGAGGGGAAAGGGGGGAGAGAGGAGACCCTGGCCTTAGCATCCTCAGCCTACCCAACAGTGTCTGTCCCTCAGGTTACAAAGACTTCCCAGCTACCATTTCAATCCATTCTCTTGCCATTTGTTGGTGGATTCAGCTATTCCTAAGATATGAATTATGGGGCTGGAGAGATGGCTCAGCGGTTAAGAGCACTGACTGCTCTTCCAGAGGTCCTGAGTTCCATTCCTAGCGCCTGTGTATGGTGGCTCACAACGGGAGGCTCACAACCCTCTGTAACTTCAGTTCCAGGGATCTTAAGCCCCCTGCCGCCCCCCCCATCAGGAATGTATAGGATATGCAAACCTACATGCAAACAAAATATCCACTCATCCATACATACACATAAAAATAAATCTTTTTAAAAAGCATGCATAAGGGTGCAGGACACCTCAGCGCCAGGCGCTCCCAAATGGGTGTAGTGTAGTAGTAGTCAAAACTAGAGTTGTTAGGGCAGCATCAACCAGACTTCACTGTCTCCTGTGTGATCTCAGGAGTCACTGTCTTCTCCCAGGCCCTACCTTTCTCTCTCACCCAGGACTGTGTCCCCTCGGCCCTGCCAGGACAGCAACCCGTGTCAGGTGAGAGCACAGAATGTGGGGCAGCATCTTTGCTTGCACTGCGCATGCCTGAGCCTCTGGCTTGAACTTTGGAGACCCTCCTACTCCGGCCACACTTGCTCCAGGGTCTCTCATGGCTTCCTGCTGTGACTATTCCACCTACCTCACTGTGACTCCCAGGACTGGGCTTTGGCCCTCACACAGCCATTTAGTTGTCAGTTACTAAGGAATGCAAATCCTGTCTCTCCTGGCTCCAAGTTCCTGCTGGTGGAATCACGTTTTAAATCCTTTTTTGTTTTGTTTTTTGTTTTTCAAGACAGGTTTTTGTTTTAATTTTTTTGTTTTTTGTTTTTCTCTTTCTTTCCTTTTTTTTTTTTTTTGAAACAGGGTTTCTTTCTCTGTCTGTCCTGGAATTTACTCTGTAGACCAGGCTGGCCTTGAACTCAGAGATCCGTCTGCTTCTGCCTCCTGTGCTGCCACTGCCTGGCTCAGCCTGCTTTTTTTACACAGCCCAGAATCACCTGCCCAGGGTGGCAAAGCCCACTGTGGACTGAGCCCTCCCACATCAATTATTCACCAAGAAAATGTCTCACAGACTTGCCTACAGGCTAATCTGATGGAGGCATTTTATCAGTAGAGTTTTCCTCCTTCCAGTTTATTTTGAGTTGACAAAAACAAACAAACAAACAAACAAAAAACATAACTGAAATACGAGTAATTTTTTTTTTCCTTTTTGAGTCAAGGTCTCATGTAGCCTTGAACCTAGCTCTTGATCCTCCTGCCCCAGCCTCCCTAGTGTTGGGATTACAGATGTGAGTGACTATACTCTGTTTAGAGGTGTAAAAATTAAAGATTTTAATGCCAGGAGCTTCAACTTCTTTTAGAATCTCTTCAACCCCAAGTCTGGTCAGCCACTCACTGGACTAACACCAGGTGGCAGGGATCTATGAATCTGTCCTTTGCCCTTTGAACTCGAATGCTCCCTTAATCCCAACACTGAAGCCGGCTGTCCCAGCTAGGGTTTCTATTGCTGAGATGAAACACCGTGAACAAAAGCAAGCTGGGGAGGAAAGGGTTTATTTGATCCTTATTGGTCCATCATTGAAGGAAGTCAGGAACCTGGAGGCAGAAGCTGAAGCAGAGGCCATTGAGGGGAGCTGCTTACTGGCTTGCTGTGCCTGCGTTCTTATAGAACCCAGGATCACCAGCCCAGGGGTGGCATCACTCGAAACCAGCTAGGACCTCCCCTGTCAAACACTAATTAAGAAAATGCCTTGGCCGAGCGTTGGTGGTGCACGCCTTTAATCCCAGCACTCAGGAGGCAGAGGCAGGTGGATCTCTGTGAGTTTGAGGCCAGCCTGGTCTCCAGAGCGAGTGCCAGGACAGCCTCCAAAGCTACACAGAGAAATCCTGTCTCGACAAACCAAAAAAAAAACAAAAAAAAAAAAAAAAAAAAGAAAAGAAAAGAAAGAAAATGCCTTGCAGCTGGACCTCATGGAGGCATTTTCTCAGATGAGGTATCAAGTTGAAATAAAAATACCCAGCACACAGGCAGATCTCTAATTGGAGGCCAGACTGGGCCACTAAGTGAGACTCTACCTCAAAAGTGGGGCGGGGCAGGCATGGTAGCACACGCCTTCTTTAAACCCAGCACTAGGGAGGCAGAGGCAGGTGTATGTATGTAAATCAAGGCCAGCCTGGTCTACAAAGCAAGTTCCAGGACAGTTGAGGCTACATAATAGAGACAAAACAAAACAAAAAAGTCACATAAACCTTTTGAAGATAGAAGATAAGATATAAACCCTGAGCCTTTCATTTCCATCTGCAAGCCTTTTAAATTTTATTTTTATATGTATGAGTGCTTAGCCTGCATGCATGCATGCATATCTTTGCACGCAGTGCCCACAGAGAGCAGAAGAGGGCGTCAGAAAACCTGAACCTACAGGCAGCTGCAGTCACCATGTAGGTGCTGGGAATGAACCCTAATCCCTCTGCAAGAGCAGCCGGTGCTCATAATCGCTGAGCCATCCCTCCAGCCCTGTGTGCAAGCCTCTTAGCCGGTATGAAATCGCCTTTTCCCTTTTTTTTTAGCTTCCCTTCTTCCCATCCCCTAGAATTTTCTCCTAGTGAAACGTTTTTCACTGTATTTCTTTTTCCCTCCTTATTCTCCTCTCATACAATGCATTCCGTCTGCAGTTTCCCCTCCCAGTTCAGCTCACACACACACACCCCTCTCCCCTAGTTCCATCCTCTTCTGTTTGCCCTCAGAGAAGAGCAGGCCTCCCAGGGATGTCAACCCACCACGGGATAACAAGATGCAACAAGACTAGGCGCAAACCCTCATATCAAGGCTGGATGAGGCAACCCGGGAGGAGGAAAAGGTCCCACGAGCTGGTGAAAAAGACCCCCTCGCTTCCACAGGACTCCAAGCCAACAACCATAACACAGATGCAGAGGACCTAGCTCAGACCCACGCAGGCAGGTTCTGTGGTTGCTGCTTCGGTCTCTGTGAGGCCTGCTTAGTTGATTCTGTGCGGTCAACTCCTCTGGCTCCCACAACAGCTTCTTCCCGGTCTTCCACAGGGTTCCCCGAGCTCCAAGGGAAGGGACTGGGTGGAGTTCCCCAGTTTGGGCGCTCTCTCTCTCCACCTAATGTTTAGCTGTGGGTCGGTCTCTGCATCTGCTCCCATCGGCTGCTTAGGCTACGCAGAAACCTCTTCTCTTTGTATTTCTTTGTGTTTTCTATCTCTGAGGCTCTCATGGATCTCCGACTGTCCTCAAACTGTGTATGTGGCTGTGGACGGAACCTAGGGCCTTGCATACGCTTGGCAAGCCCTCTACCAATTGAGCCACTCCCCGCCCCCCCTTTTTTTTGTTTGAGCCAGTGTTTCATGTGTCCCAGATGGCATCTAACTTGACGTGTTGTTGAGGATAAACTTGAACTGCTGAACTTTGTCTTCCCTTCCCAGGTGCCAGGCTTACCACAGCCAGTTCATAGGACTAATGGGTATTAAATAGTTATTCAGCACAGAATTCATATTACAACTATCATAAAACAAATATTAAAGCTAAAAATACTGATTAGACACTAAAAACAAAACTTTCAGAGAAAGTGCATCTTAAAGCCGGGCGGTGGTGGCACACACAGGCGGATCCTCGGTGAGTTCTAAGCCAGCCTGGTCTAGGAAGTGAGTTCCAGGACAGCCAGGGCCACACAGAGAAATCTGTCTCGGGCGGGGGTGAAAAGAAGCAGCAGCAACCTAGACTCAGAAGTACAGAAAAAAAACCTGGCTTTTATTTTCCCTTTGGGAGCGCACCATCCTGGTCAATTGTCATGTCACAGCTGAGACCACCAGGTGGCAGTAGGGAGCACAGTGCTCAGGCCCTCCCTGGAGGTCCAGGTCTAGACACCCTGGGAAGAGGAAGCAGGAATAGGTTGGGTGAGGTAGGCGTGTGTTTTATGTTATTCTGACCAAGAGAGGCAGAGGGGCTGAACAGGGACCCCGAGGTGAAAAAGCAGGTATGCAGAACACAGACACCTGAACACAATCCAACCAGGGACTTAGGAAGGGAGCTACAAAAGGGAAAATTGAGATTTTAAGGAGCAGCAGAGGAAAGAGGTGGGTTTGAGTGTGCGCTCAGGAGGCTCAAATTCCCTGGGGCGCCTCCCTATCTGTACTCTTCCTGGGGTGGGTCAAGGTCAGGCTCCTCTTGCGATCCGTGGTCCATCTCAGGGGCAGGTGGCCAGGGGTTTTCTGGGGGCTGGGTGCCTGCTGGCCAGGGGTCATCGGGCAGAGGAGCGTGAGGGGCATCAGTGCTGGGAGGCTCTGGGGGCCACACACCAGCATTGGGCAGGTCTCTCCAGGGACGGTTGGGGCCTGGAGGTGGAGGTTCATCAAAGATAGGAGGTACCCCTGGCCACGGGTCACCAGGGATTGGGGGGCCCAGGGGCAATGCTGGGGAGTCCTCCTCTTCTTGGGCTTCTGTGGGTCTGGGAGAGGGGTCTCCACTGCCTGAGATGCCTGTAGAGGAGGGAAGAAAAGCGATGCAGTCACAGAGCACTCCTCACCCAGCCTCAGACCCAAAGGCTGAGCCTCCCTTAGACCAGCACAGCCCGAGCTGGCCCCAGGATGGACCTCCCCAAAGAGCTTCCAATACATTTCCCGAATACTGAAGCCATCTTCACAAGAAAGCCCTGGGCTCATCGAGGCCCCCCACATGATCAAGCCTTCAAATAGCTCTGTCCAACCTAGGTTGGGAGACCCCACCGGAACTACCCCAAGGCTGGTCTGCACCTATGGTGGTCTTGGCCCCATCTCTGTTATATATAACCAGTCCTCAACACAGACCCCCCCTCCCCCCAAACTCCCGTCGCATCCATGCACCTGACCTAGCAACGTATTCAGGACCAAGTCCCTGCCGGCCTTCCCTAAGTATCCCCACTATGGCCCGTCCAGAATCCCTTTCCCGGAGCTTCCCGCTAATGACCCGCCCAGAATCTCTTCCACTCGGCATTCCATTTACTCCTTCCCTCCTTGGGGGTCCCCTCCCTAAGGGTGATCACCCCAGCTGGGCTCTTCCGACTTACCTCGTGCACACAGGCAAAGGAGCAGGAGGCCCAGCAGCTTCCAGCTGAGCATTATGGCTGTCTACCGGCCCCCAGAGTGGGGTGCTCTGAGTCTAGGTGCTTGAGAACCCGACAGGCTTTATAGTGGAGGAGGGAGAGGAGGTGGCCAGTCTGTGGGGAGGGGCCAGCCCCGTGACGAGGATTCCCCATCAGAGTCCGACTGGTCAGACCCGTTTACAGAGCCCGGGACAGCCCTTCAGTCCCCCAGCCCAGGTCATCAGCCAGGTCTCCCTATCAGTGACCCAGACCCCAGGAGACCCCACCCTTGTTTTCATACCTCCTCCTTCCACACCCGGCAGGCAGCCGCGGGTACCCACCTGTCATCTCCATAATCACAGGGAAGGCCACCTTTCATCCCTGACAGCTATTGGAAGCCACAAAACGGGGGCAAACTCTGCGTGGGGAAGCTTGCTAATTACAGGGGGAGGCAGGACGCCTGGGTCAGCTAGCACCCCCGGGCTGGCATCACAGCCCTGGGGCCCCCTCCCCCACTTCCCTCTGGACCAGGGAGGCTGCTCTGGCCTGTCTCTTTGGCTACAGGAGGACCTCCCAGGCGGTGACATCTAAGGAATTCCATGGGGAGCCACCTGGGTGACTACAAGCCAGGATATCCTGGTTCCTGACCCCATGCAGAGAGGGGTTGAGTCAACCACAAAGGCTCGGGAAGACGCACCCCCACCCACCCATGTAATCGGGTTTCTTCCTCCTTAGCATCAGGGCCCTGCGCCCTCCTCCCCAACCCCTCCATGAGAACTCCGTTCCCCCTCACACACACACATTATTCCCCACCTGGTCTTTTTGGTTACTGCATCTTCTTCACTTGAAAGCCCTGTTCCCAGAGCACTCGCCCTGGCTCTGGCCTATCTCACTCAGTTATTCTTCCTTCCTACTCACACAGATTTTTTTTTTTTAAATGTGAATGGGTGGGGTTTTTAAAATTTTATTTTTATTCATGTGCATTGGTGTTTTGCCATGGGTGTTGAGTTGGTTCCCTGGAACTGGAGTTAGACAATTGTGAGCCTCCACAAGGTGCTGAGAATTGAACCCAGGTCCTCTGGAAGAACAGCCAGTGTTCTTTTTTGGAGGGAGGGCGGTTGGAGACATATATTATCTGTGTAGCTCTAGCTGTCCTGAAACTTGCTTTGCAGACCACACTGGCTAGACCAGGCTGGCCTTAAACTCAGAGATCTGCCTACCTCTGCCTCCTGAGTGCCTGGGTTGAAGGCATGCGCCAGTGTTCTTCACGCTGGAGCCATCTCCCCAACCCATCCAAAATCCCTTTACAACACAATTTGGAGCAGCTTTGGAGTAAAGTCCTGTTGCAAGCCCTGTTCCCTGCTGAGCCCTGAGCCTCTGCCCTGAGCCCCCTGCCCCCATGCCACCGTCACAGTGGCCCTGGGCTGGGAAAGTCTCTGTCTGCTCTGAGACTCTTCTTGAATGTACCAGGCATTTGTCAGCACCCAAAGAAAATAATTGCTAAACAAAAAGTGAAGGTAAAGAAAACTTGGTCCAGGTAGCCGTGACACATGCCAGCACTCGGGAGGCAGAGGCGGGTGGATCTCTGTCATTTCCAGCCAGCCTGGTCTACACAGCAAGTTTGAGGGCAGCCAGGGCTACATAGAGACCCTGTCTGAAGAAAGAAAACTTGAGAGGCAGAGGCAAATAAGATCCCTATGAGTTCAAGGCCAGCCTGGTCTACACACATGGTGAGCTCCAGGGCCTCGTGGAGACCGTCTCAAAAGTCAAAACAAAACCAACAACCCCCCCCCCCAAACCTAGGAACTTCTCAAAACATGTCCGGAGCAGTTAGGAAGGGGGTGCCACTCAGGGGAAGGGTGGGGTGCTTCCCTTCACCCCACAGCCTCAGGAGCTGGCCTCAGGGAGAACCTGTCTCCCAGACACCTCCAACCAACAGCTCCACTACAGCCATCTTTATTTTTTGCGGAATTCAGCCTTGGTGGAAGGAAGCTGGGTAACCAAGGCTTGCCGGGAAACAGGCTGGCCGACATCGTCCCAATCCAACCATCCTGGGGGATCCGGCTCCAGGCTGGCTCTAGGCTGGCTTCACCGCCGCCCCTGGCAGCTCCGGCTCAGCAGCAGTCTGACGGGGGGCACTGAGTGTACTGTTTATCTTCTGGGCATGTAGCCTCCTCTCTGGAAATGGCCTCGCTCAGGCCTTGCAGGTTTTCGAACAGGGCAGTCAGGGACTCTAACACAGAAGGTGTTGCAGGGTAAGAAGAGCAGGCTCCGTGCTGCCCAGGGCACTGGTGTCGAGGAAAGGCCAAAGGCCTTTGGGGCTCGACAGGGGCGTGTGGGTGTAACTACCTTTCGTACACTCCCTGGGCGGTGAGGCCGCTGGACACCCGTGCTCTGGGGATACCTCAGGCTGAGGGCTGAACCTCACGGTTTTCTTGTCGGTTCCCAGGGGAAGCATTGCCAACAGCCGCTGCTGCTTGTAACGGGAGAGGAGACCCTCCTGCCTCAGGGTGGCCTGGGAAGGAGAGGGTCAGCCGCACCGCACGGGGCCACGCAAACCGCCCCCACCCTCCCCTCAGACACCTCTACTCACCCACCAGCTACCATGACCGCGCTCCCTCTGTCCCCTACCAGCATGAGGTTTTTGTCCCTCTCGAGCTCCTGCACTCTGCGGGCCACACGCTGAGCCTCCTCCTTCCGGGCCTCATCCTGAAGGCGTCTGAGCTCCTGGTTCCGCTCCTTTTCCCGCGTGGCTCTGTGCTGGATCTGGCGCAAGGAAACCACTGAGGAGATGGGAGTGGGTCAGCCCGGAGCCCAAAAGGTGAGGCCTAGTTCTCAACTCTGGCTCTCGGGGTCTCTTCCACACGCTGAGTGGGCTGGTGCCAGGGGATCCTGGGCTCTGTGAACCCCAGGTGCCTTCCTCATCTCTGATACCAGTTCCTCAGGCAAGACCTGGACCCCCAGGAGCTGGAGTCAGAGCTCCTGTAGCTCGCTGGTCCTCCTGTGGTTTGTGCTGCAGTTGTTTGGAGCCAGGCCTCACTGTATAGCCCACCCAGGCTGGCCTTAAAACTATCCTGCTGTCTCTTACTCTCAAGTGCTGGGCTGCTAGGCAAGTGCCACCCACCATGTGTGCCTAGGGCTCATGGATCTTAAGACACTGGGGTGTGTCTGTGGGGTGTGCAGCTGAACCAGCATGTCTGCAACTTACATGACTCAAATGTCTACATATGTAACCATGGGTGCATAGGTGAGAGAGAGGGGTGATGACTGCGATTACACCGACTCTCACTCATCCAAGGGTTAAGTTTCTGATGACAGTGGTGTCCGCTGAGGGGTAAGTGACACAGGCCCAGGAGCCAGAGAGGTCACTAGCTGTTTCTTGATCTGGCATTAGATGCAGTGTGATTGCTAAGTAAGAATTCATCATTCACGCCATTCCTCAATTTCTTCACTGTAGACATGCGCCCGGGGTGGGGTGGGATTGACAGCCCTAAGTCTCTGCCGCTGCTTTCTTCCTGGAAGGGCCAAGTCCTCCCCAGCAGATCTCACCGGCCTTGGCCTGCTCCCTCCGCGCCTCATTCAGCCTCCTCTTTGTGTCTGAGAGCTGTTCCCGAAGCCGAGTTTCCACCTCGGCCACCTTCTCCTGCAGAGCTGCCGTGAGGGTACAAGGCAGTGTCAGGGGGCACACACGGCCATGCACATGCCTCGCAGGGCCATGCTCACACAGCCACACTCACGCTGGCACGCAAGCACCACCACGCTCCCACACCTTGCCCGTAGATCTGCTGCTGCTGTGTCAGCTCCTGCCGGAGGTTGGCAGCTTCCTCTGTGCTCTCCTGCTGCCCCTGGAGGGCCGACTCCAGCTGCTGCCCCACGTTGACCAGGGACTCCTGGGCACGCTGCAGCTCCTGCTCCAGCTGCTGGGCCACCTCGTTCAGCTGCAGGCGCTCTGCCTCCCCTAAGGGGAAGTTTTTGTGGTCACACATGATCTCTTCTGGCACCTGAGCCTCAGACCCCAAGTCTTTTCCAGCCTCATCTGTCCATCCGTCCATCCACCCAGACAAGCCTACCTTGCTCCCGGGCCCGGCCCACCTCCTGCTGGATGATGTGGGCACTCAGCTGCAGCTCAGCATCCAAGCGGTTCCGTTCTTCCCGAAGGTGCTCCAACTCAAGGCTCAGGTCGGCATCCACTGGGGGTGCGGGTGGGGGCGGGGGACAGCTGGGACAGAAATGACAAAGGAGTCAGAGGAAATTCCCTCAGCAGCCACCTGAGCGGCGCCTCCATCCCTCCATGGTCCTCTCTGCGTCCTGGCCACCAATACCGGATTGCCCTCAATGTCCACACACCCTCCACCTCTGTGTGCCTGAACTTCACCTTTGCAGGCGCAGCTGAGCAAGGGACACTTTTCGAGCCATCAAACCTGAGGAGGAAAGGCAAAGGACAGGAAGATGGGTATACACAGACAGAAGGACAGCAGGAGCACAGGCCAATGACAGACAGACAGAAAGACAGCTGAAGCACAGGGCAGTGACAGACAGAAGGACAGCTGGAACACAGGGCAGTGACAGACAGACAGAAAGACAGCAGGAGCACAGATCAGTGACGGACAGACAGACAGAAGGACAGCTGGAGCACAGGGCAGTGACAGACAGACAGAAGGACAGCAAGAGCACAGGGCAGAGTGATCGTTACCAAGACAACAGAGGATAGATGAGGTTAGATCTAGGGCTGAGAGGCAGGGGGCCAGGCCAGTGGGGACAGACAGAAGGACAGCAGGAGCACAGGCCAGTGGGACAGCTGCGACACACACCCTTAATGGTGTGGACCTTCCGGATGGCATAGCTGAGTCGGTTGCTGAGGCTGGGAATCCGGGCTACAGTCTGGTTCAGCCTGGTCATGGTGCCATGGATGCTGTCCTGAGTGCTGTAAAGACACAGGTCACTCACCTTCCACCCTCCCCTCACCTCTGAAGGACCCACAGGGTGTATGCACAGGACACGCTTGTCCTATCCTGTTACATGAGTGGGGAGGTGGGCTGTAAAGCAACAAGAAAAAGGGGGAACAAAAGCCACCAGGAGGGACAAGACCTTAGTGGATCTTGCAAGTCAACCAAGCTCCTTAGCAGATCTTTTTTTTTTTTAAGATTTTATTTATTAATTATGTATACAACATTCTGCTTCCATGTATATCTGCACACCAGAAGAGGGCACCAGATCTCATAACGGATGGTTGTGAGCCACCATGTGGTTGCTGGGAATTGAACTCAGGACCTCTGGAAGAGCAGTCAGTGCTCTTAACCTCTGAGCCATCTCTCCAGCCCCTCCTTAGCAGATCTTTAAAAATGCCTGCCAGATAAAAACATCCAGCTGAAGCCAGGCGGTGGTGGCGCACTCCTTTAATCCCAGTGCTCAGGGCAGAGGCATGAGGATCTCTTGAGTCTGAGACCAGCCTGGTCCAGTAGTCCCCCTGGGGGCAGGAGGTGCGTGCAATGCTTTGAATCAGGGCAGTGGCTCTTTGAATCTAGTCTGATTCTCTGTGGGTTTTAAAGTTTCATCTTTTTTTTTTTGTTTGCTTTTTGTTTTTCGAGACAGGGTTTCTCTGTGGCTTTAGAGCCTGTCCTAGAACTAGCTCTTGTACACCAGGCTGGTCTCGAACTCACAGAGATCCACCTGCCTCTGCCTCCCAAGTGCTGGGATTAAAGGTGTGCGCCACCAACGCCCGGCTAAAGTTTCATCTTTTTTTTCTTTTTTCTTTCTCTTCAAGTGCTAGGGATGGAAGCCAGGGATTCCTGAATGCCAGGCAAGTGCTCCACTGTGCTATAGACTGTACAATTTAGATGCTTTCCAAACTAAACAGGGTGTAAGAGCACAGGAAAGGAGGAAGGGACGGGGGAGGTTTGGACCCTCCATGTCCTATCACTGAGCTGTGAAGCCCGGGCTCCACCTAGCTGCCCTACTTAGCTTCAAAGGCTACCCGACGGAACTGCAGGAAGCAGGATTCCCCAGCTCCAGACAGGTTAAATTCACAGCGGGAGACACTGCCAGGCAGAGATGCTCCCTCCCGCCTGAGGCCTGAGGCTCCTCAGGGTCCCAGAGGCTTGGGAAGCTTTGCCGCCCTGAGAGATACCTTTTCATGGCGCTGACCACGAACTTCAGCTGCTCCTCGACAGAGTCTGTCCGCTGCTTCTGCCGCCGCCTGGCCTCCTGAGCCCGATTCAGCTCCATTTGCAGGGTCTGGGAGGATGCCGTTTTGTGTTCGTGTTTTCTCTTAAGCCTCCTCCCTGTTGTCTGGCCCACAGACCCGCGGCAGCCCCAGGGTCTCCCTCACCCTCCCTCCAGTCTCTCTCTCTCTCCAGCTCACAGACCCGCGGCAGCGCCCAGGGTCTCCCTCACCCTCCCTCCAGTCTCTCTCTCTCTCCAGCTCACAGACCCGCGGCAGCGCCCAGGGTCTCCCTCACCCTCCCTCCAGTCTCTCTCTCTCTCCAGCTCACAGACCCGCGGCAGCGCCCAGGGTCTCCCTCACCCTCCCTCCAGTCTCTCTCTCTCCGGCCCACACCTTGATGCTCATGCGCTCCACCTCCAGCTCCGCCGCTTTGTCTTGCAGGGCTTGCTGCAAGATGGCCTGCTCCTGGCTCTGGGCCATCACTTGTTCCTGGAGCTCTGCTACCTGGAAGAGCAGAGGGAGCTGGGCAGGCAAGTCGAGAGCCAAAGCCGCGCGGAACGCCGGGTTTGAAGGAGAATCAAGGAGACCGGCAGAATCTCTGAAGTGGGGCTAGAGACACTGGCTCGGCGGTTATGAGGCACTGGTTGCTTTTGCAGAGGACCTGAGTTCAATTCCCTCTACCCTCGAGATGGGTGTGATGGCTCATAACCGTTTGTTACTCCAGTTCCAGGGTGGCCAACACATTCTGACTTCCATGAGCACACAGTACACATACATACACACGGTCAAAACACTCCTACACACAAAATAAAATAAATACATCCACAGCTCTGGTTACCCTGGAACTCACTGTGTAGACCAGGTTGGCCTCGAACTCAGCGATCTGCCTCTCCCTAAGTGCTGAGATTAAAGGCGTGTGCCACTACAAAAATAAATGTATAAATAAATAAATAAGCCAGGCAGTGGTGGCACACACCTGCCTTTAATCCCAGCACTTGGTAGGCAGGAATAGGTGGATCTCTGAGTTCTTTTCTTTTCTCTCTCTTATAAAATCTTACTTTATTTTATGTGCATTGGTGTTTTGCCTCCATGTATGTCTGTGTGAATGTGTCAGGTTGCCTGGAATTGGAGTTACAGACTTTGGGAGCTGTCGTGTGGGTGCTGGGAATTGAACCCAGGTCCTCTGGAAGAGCATCCAGTGCTCTTAACCACTGAGCCATCTCTCCAGCCCCAGATCTCTGAGTTTGAGGCTAGCCTGGTCTACAGAGAGAATTCTAGGACAGCCAGGGCTACATAGTGAAACCCTGTCTTGAAAAAAAAAAAAAAAAAAAAAAAAAGGAAAGCAAGATGAGCAGTGGTGGTGTACCCCTTTAATCCCAGCACTTGGGGGCGGGGCAGAGGCAGGAGAATCTCTGAGTTCGAGACCAGTCTGGTCTACAGAGTGAGTTCCAGGACAGCCAGAGCTACACAGAGAAACCCTGTCTTGAGAAAAGAGAAATCAGCACAGCACAGCAGTCTGAGGGTGAGGAGCTGCTGGAGCTTGCAAAGGGCCCAGCTCTTCTTTCCGACTCATGGTCCACTGACCGCACTTTGAGAGACCATCCTCACCCTTGACCACACCATGCCCTGATGGGCGCAGTCGCCTCCTCAGAAGCTGTCCCTGACCGTCATCCTACCTATCCCATTTCAGTCTTGACATTACCCACTCTCCTACTTATTGGTTCACCTTCCTTCACAACTGAAGCTCCGTGAGAACACGTGAACAGAACGCGGCCACCACCCAAAGCATAACTGCCATCATTGTGTGGGGTGCTGCATGCAGAATGATGAGAAACAGAGCCCCTGACCTGGTCCCTCAGCCCCTTCATGGAGTCCCTGTGCTCCAGGTCCTGGGCCTTGAGTTGTACCATGAGGACAAACACCTTTTCCCGCCAGCTGCTCAGCAGAGATCGGCACTTCTTAGGATACTCGGGCTCCAGCACATCTGAAGGCTGGATCTGCATGTGGAAAGAGTTACTTCTGAGGGAGCAGGAAGGGGTGACCTTTGTTGTTCCTGTCCTGCTGGGGCGGTGGAGTGAGGTTTTGGGATCCTAGCGGGATCCCAACTACTGCCCCCAGAGAGGGAAGGCCAGGGTCTGGCGGATGAGGGAGGGTCCTACCTTCCTGGTCAGCTCCTCTTCCTGCAGGGCAAGCATGTGCGTGAGGCTCTGTACCCGAACCTGCAGCAACTCCACGGTGGCCTGAAGGTCAGCCCGGTCCTCCCTCAAGTGCTGGAAGAGCATGGTCAGTCAGGGTCTCCTCACTACATGCAGGTGGTGGGCAGTCTAAGCCGGGTGAGTGAGCGGCGACAGCATGGCCTCCCTTCCCGTTCCTCCCTCCTGGGCCATCCCCATCCCCACCTGCACGGTGTCTAGAAGCTCCTCCCGTTCTGGCTCCCATGCCTGCCTGTGAACCTCAGGAGGGACTTGTTCCCCCACGTACTTCCTCAGACTTTCCACCAAGGTCACCTGAGCTTCCAGCTCTTCTTGAGTCTTGCTAGGGTGGAGGCAGAACCCGGACAGTCCTCAGCGGAGCAGCCCAGAGGCCCCCACCATGCCACCTGCCCGGCCCCTCCCTCTCTGCTGCCCCTGCCCTGCCCCGCCCCTGCCCGCTGACCTCAGCTGACCCCGAAGCAGCTCGGTCTCCTTCTGGGCCACCGACAGCTGTTTGATTTCCCCTGCCCGTTTCATTTCCAGGCTATTCAGGGCCCTCTCCAAGCCCTCGGCCTTGCTGGTCAGACTGGCAAGAGCCATCTCGTGAGCCTGGGTCATTGAGGATAGCTGTGGAGGAAGAGCACATTCAAGGCCAGCCGGGGCAGGCCAGAGTGCGTCCTTCTCTTCCAAGACTCAAGTCTCAGTTCTCAGCACCCACAGTGGGTGGTTCAGAGGTCCACTCTTCTCTTTATCCCCTCCACACATATGCAGTGCACACTCACCAACACAACACACAACACACGACATAAACAACACACATGTTGGTGGAGCATGCCTTTAATCTCAGCACTTGGGAGGCAGAGGCAGGCAGATCTCTGCGAGTTCGAGGCCAGCCTGGTCTACAGTGCGAGTGCCAGGATAGTCTCCAAAGCTACACAAAGAAACCCTGTCTCAAATAACAAAAAACAACACACACGTGGCACACACCAACACAATACACCATATAAACAACTCCCACGGTGCACACTCGCCAACACAACACACAAAAACAAAAATAAATCTTTAATGTGGGCAGCACACCCCAGCATGAGAGCCCTCCAACAGATCAACCTGCTATAAGCAAATGGAGAATTCTCTGCATCTGGTTCTTCCCGGTTAGTTTCAAACAATCCAAACTATAGTATAGTCAATTCCTGCCTGTTCACTTCCCTGCCTCTCTGTGTCCACTGCTAACACCTGGAGTAACCCACGCCCGCTGCCTCATGCCTGAGTGTTTGTGGGCTGGGAAGATGGCTCTGCCAGTTGCCTCCTTCACAAGAGCGAGGCCCTGAGTTGGGATCCCCACAAACTATGTAAAAAGGTGGGCACACCTGTAGTCACCCCAGCTCTTTGAGATGGCAGGACACACGGGCAGACCCCTGAAGCTCCCAGGCTAGCTGGTCTGGCCTGCCTGACAAAGTTACAGGCCAATTAAAAACCCTGTCTCAGACAAAAGGGACGTGAGGACCCACACCTGAGGTTGTCCTCTGACCTCCACAAGTGTGCATAGCCTCACCCACCTACATCCACAGCTGAATGTACACACACTCCTCAGTGGTGCTGAGCATGGTGGTGGCAGATGCCTATAATCCATGTGCTGGTTAGTTTTTGGTCAACTTGACATGGTAAAGGTTTTTTGGGTTTTGTTTCGTTTTGTTTTTGATTTTTCAAGACAGTGTTTCTCTGTGTAACAGTCCTGGCTGTCCTGGAACTCGCTCTGTAGACCAGGCTGGCCTCAAACTTACCAAGATCCACCTTCCAAGTGCTGGGACTAAAGGTATGCACCACCGCTGCCAGGCTGTCAAGGTAAAGTGTTTTGGGGAGCGGAACCTCAACTGAGAAAATGCATCCATCAGACTGTCCTGCAGGCAAGCCTCTAGGACATTTTCTGGATTAATGATTGATGTGTGAGGGTCCAGCCCACAGTGGGGTGGTGCCACCCCTAGGTAGGTAGTTGGTCCTGAGTTATGTATGAAAGCAGGCTGACCAGGCCTCGAGGAGCAAGCCAGTACACAGTGTTCCTCCTCCTTGGCCTCTGCTCCAGTTCCTGCCTCCACCTCCCTCAGTGGACTGTAACCAGGGAAATGCAAGCCAAACAAACCCTTTCCTTCCCAGGTTGCTTTTTGTCACGGTGCTTTATGACAGCAAATAGAAATCAAGCTGGAGACATGGCTCAGAGGTTAAGAGCACTGGCTGCTCTTCCAGAGGTCCTGGGTTCAATTCCCAGCAACCACATGGTGGCTCACAACCATCTGTAATGAGATCTGGTGCCACCTTCTGGCCTGCAGGGCAGAGAACTGTCTACATAATAAATAAGTTAAAATTAAAAACAGAAAGAAAACCCACCAGGTGGTGGTGGCGCACACCTTTAATCCCAGCACTCAGGAGGCAAAGGCAGGTGGATCACTGTGAGTTCGAGACCAGCCTGGTCTACAAGAGCTAGTTCCAGGACAGCCTCCAAAGCCACAGGGAAACCCTGACTCGAAAAACCAAAAAAAAAAAAAAAAGAAAGAAAAGAAAAAGAAAAACCTAAGATGTTCTTGGGAAGCTGAGTCAGAAGTAGTGCCTCAGGTTCAAGGCCAGCCAGGGCTATATAGCAAGACCCTGCCTTAACATCCTCCCCACCCCCTAATGCCATAGGCACCAAGCCTGCTGCCTGACAGTGCATTTCCCCAAGCTCTCTCCTGAGGCTCTCCCTGCTCCCTTTGTTCAGGTACTGTCCCTCCTTCAGGAAGGCCTCTCATCCTTTCCCTGCCTGCAGCTTTCTGAGCACTGGCGGCCCCAGATGACGGCCCCAGCTGATGCTACATCAGCAGCTGACCCTACTTCAGCGTGTCCTCATGAGGATGCTCTAGGGTGGGAGGGCCTTCACACTAGACCCCAGGCAGTGCCAGGGGCATCAGAGCAGCCCGAGCTGTGGAACCAGTGGGTAAGGTGTCTGCCCTGCTTCCTCCTGCAGGATCTGCCCTGCTGCCAGCCCCTTCTCTACAAGTATCTGAAATGAAGCACGAAGTCTTTTTAGACATAAAATACAAATCGGATTGGGTTATTTCCCTGCTTTTTCCCCTGGAGCCTGGCATGGTGGTGTGCACCTTTAATCCCAGCACACGGGAGGCAAAAGCAAGAGGACCTGTGAGCTGCAGGCTAGCCAGAGCTATACAGTGAGACCCTGACTCAACAACAACAAAAACCCCTTCTTTTCCGGGGACTCTGGGGCTGAACCTGCAGCCTTGCGCACACCTGGCGAGCACTCTGCCAGTCTCTTAAAACCTTTCACTGGTGTTTATCATCTGTCCACCTATCAGCAGTTAATCTCGCTCACAATGACTGTAGAGTCGACTTCTGCACTCGGTACCAATTACACGGGTTATCAAATATCAAAGCAGGGTGTCTGCTTAGTGAAGCGACCAATTCGGAGAACCTTCTCGGTGATGACTCACAGGGCAGCAAGCCAATTGCTGCCCCGATATACAAACCAGACACTCATCTTTAAAGCCTCCCTCCCTGCCTCTCCATCGCCTGAAGTGGCCCTCCCTGTCCCTAGACCACATTACTGCCCCTGCACCCTGAGGCACTTTCCCAGCTGCAACTGGCTTATAGGCACACGTCCTACACCAGACTGTAATTCCCTTCTTGAGAAGAGACTGAGGCAACTTGCTCGCTCAACTGATCCCCAGCTAGCTCCTACCTCAAGGATGGCAAAGAGAAGACACACTGGGCATTCTGACTGGACATTCAATCCTTCCCAGTCTTCTGCAGGACCCAAACCCCACTTCTCCACTCCCTCCCTCCACCATATTTCCCAGAAGAGTACTTGGCACCGAATAGGAAGAAATACTACTTCCGGAGTGCAAGCTCACTTGGCTTCCAAGAAACAAGTGCAGTCCAAGGAAGACCCAAATACCCAAGTTCTCCCTGCCGAGATCCCACGGCTCTGCTGCTACGAGGCTCCCTGAAATTTGCTGGAAAGTGCACCCCGAAAAGTTTCTCAGCCCCGCTCACCCCCATGTTCACCTGCTCTTGGTGCAGAGTCTGAATCTCCTGCAGTTCCCTCTGGTTCCCCTCCTCCAGGTTCTTCCGGACCATCTCGGCTCCAGCCAAGGCAGCGCGCAGGCCCTCAGCCTCAGCTTGGCCAGCTTTCTCTGCCACCGCAAGAGCGTCCATCTCCATGGCCTGAGCCTCCAGCCTCATCTTCTGCTGCAGGGAGGTCTCCCGGAGCATCCGAACCTCCTCCTCCAGCCGTCGTAACTCTTGGAGCTGCCGGGAGATCAGCTCCGCCTGCTGGCTCAGGGCACCGGAGACCCTCAGCTCCAGAGACCTTCAAAGACAGGTGGGCACGGGTGAGACCTGTCCCCGGTACCACCGGGAGGGTGGAGACAGCAAAGAGAATAGTAACCCTCGACTTTATGTGGGGAAGCAGGGGCTAAGGCTGAGGCAGGAGGATCTCCACATTCACACCATCACCTATCAAGTCCCTACTAAATATGAGATCCACTTTCTGGGCTCAGGGAACCAACCTAAACCAACCTAAATCCCTCCAGAGATCCATTCGTAAGCAGACAGATTAAACATCAAACCTGCACGTGGGCAGAACACATTCCCAGTGCGAGGGTCAGAAGAATGTGCAGAGCTGGATTTCCAGTTTAGGACAGCTAAGCGGCAGGGACTGATCTTTTGGTACCAAGTGTTAACTACAGACTTCTTGGTTGTTTCATTTGAGACAGGGTCCCCTGTCGCCCAGGCTGACCTTAAACATAGTACACTGCAGAGGCTGTCCTGGGGCTCGGGACACTGCTGCCTTTACTGCTCCATCTGTGCACCCACACACAAATTACACAAACATAACAAAACCTAAAGTCACGGGGTTGGGGAGCTGGCTCAGAGGTTAAGAGCACTGGCTGTTCTTCCAGAGGACCAGGGTTCAATTCCCAGTACCCACATGGTGGCTCACAACCGTCTGTGACTCCAGTCCCAGGGGATCAAGCACCCTCACCTAGACATGCATGTGTAAAAATAAAGTCACTCAAGTTTGCTGCTGGTCGGTCTCTTCAGCTTCTCTTCCTGGGACCTCTCAGGTGTCAGAGGTGGCCTTCCCTCACCCTGCACTACACCAGTGCACCTGTGGCCTTCCCTCACCCTATACAACATCAGCGCACCTGTGGCCTTCCCTAACCCTATACAACCCCCCCAGGCTCTTGGTGAGTGTTCACCACACTGTCCGGGGAGCCTGAGGACGCTCCATCCACAAATGACTCAGTCATGCATATCTAAACTAGTTTGTGTGGAGGCTCCTGTGGTATCATAGGATCTCATGTGACTGGAGGCTCGTGAAATGACTTGCCACAGTTCCCTATGATCTGTCTCCTAACGTCCTGTCCCCCTTCTTCATCATGCTTTCTTCCTTGGCAAGTGGCAAAGCAACACTCCGGTATACTGGGAGAGGCACACATGAAACAACATGAGTAAGACTCCTTACTCTCACACACAGACACGGCTCAGTGGTTGAGAGAGCTTGCTGCTCCTGCAGAGAACCCCAGTTCAGCTCCCAGCACCCACATTCAATGGCTCACAGTGCCTGTCACTCCAGTGCCAGGGAATCCTACACCCTCTTTCGGCCTCCAGGTGGGCATGCTCACATGCAGATACATGCACATAAATAAAAATACAATCTTTTTTGTTTTGTTTTGTTTTTTTCCCCAGACAGGATTCTCTCTATGTAGCCCTGGCTGTCAGGGAATTCACTCTGTAGACCAGGGAGGGAGTGGCCTTGAACTCAGATCTGCCTGCTTGTCTGCCTCTCTGGGATTAAAGGCAGGCCATGCCCGGCTCAAAAATAAAATCTTAAACCACATATGCCGAGCATAGCCAGCTCCAGTGGTGTATGCCGGGAAAGGCCCTTTTAACTAAGAGCCAGCATGTCACTTCGTTTCACAATGGCTTCTGGGCAATCCATCTCCTCCCTCAGACATTTACACTCCTTCTTTATTGTTAACTATATGTTTTTACTTGATAACTGTTTTTGTTATATATAATTTTACTATGTTAAAGTAAAAGTAAACCCTTCTTTTTATTTAGACAGAAAAGAGGAGATGATGGGGGATGCCCTTCAGTATATATGTTTCTTTTATTGGTTGATGAATAAAACACTGTTTGGCCAAAAGAGGCAGGAAGATAGGTGGGGCAGGGAGACAGGGAGAACCCTGGGAGAGATGCAGGGAGGAGATGCCATGTAGCTGCCAAAGGAGTAACAGGTCTGGGCATTTTCTGGTAAGCCAAGACCACGTGGAAATACATAGATTTATAGAAGTGGGTTAATGATGAAGAGAGAGCTAGCCACCAAGAAGCCCTAGCCATTGGCCAACTGTTTTATAACTAATATAGTGTCTGTGTGTTTATTTGGGGCTGAAGCGGTGGCAGGACCTGGAGGAAAAGAAACTCTAGCAACACTTGTTAATTGGGAATTTAAGTCCAGAGCGCGCGCTCTCTCTCTCTCTCTCTCCTCTCTCTTGATTTTCTCCAGGGCATAATGGTATATGCAGTGTAGGTACCAACAATGGCCTACAGAAAACCACACAAGTTATGGAACCCAGGGCTGCTGAAATAAAGGAATGTGTGTATAAAGGATCATTAGCAAGTCTGAGAAAAAGGTGATTGACAGATCCCTACCTGCCTCTCTGCCCTGGCCCCTGCCCATCTCCATAGACATCCTGTTCCCTCATGGTCACTGTGGGCCTCTGAGAGTCCAGCTGCCGCCTCTCTAGGACATCTTGGTCAAATGTGGATTGGAACTGGGGAATGTCTGAAGCCCAGGTCGGGGCCATTCTCGGCCGAGCTTGGAAGTGGGAGGGAGGAACCAGTCCAGCAAAACCTGAGGGGGTGGGTCACAAGAGTAAAGACTGTCAGTTTCTCAGAGAGAGAGAGGAAGACGGAGGGAGGGAGGGAGGGAGGGAGGGAGGGGGAGGGAGGAAGGGAAGGAGAGAGAGAGGGAGAGAAAGAGAGGAGAGGGAGGGAGAGAGGGAGAAAGACAGAGGCAGAGAGACACAGAGAGACTTCCCAGCCTCCTTGATTGGCCTTACTGACCTGAGGGAGACAACATCTCCACTCTATCTGAAGCCTCTCGATCTTGTCCGCAAGAGTGTAGGTTCCCCTGGACAGTAGGAGAAACAAGGAGACTCCAGTTCAGTTTTCAGGCCACCTTCCAAAGAGGAAGTCCTATAATAACAAAGCCACAATCCTTCAGTTACTGACAGATCTGCCCAGCTCTGAGCTTCTCTCTCCCTACTTCCCTAACAAGGCAGACTTGCTTGTCCCGAACACACGCTCCTGACAAAGGAACCAGGCAACAATCATGGGGTAAATGTACCGAGATGGGGGCCAGGGGATGCTCTTGGGGATTTTGCTTCTACTACAGGATTGTGAGTGGTGCCTTTACCTTCCTCCTTAAGTGTCTACGATCCCTGTAGCTCTGGTCTGGAGGTGAGCGGGCCTGTTGTGAACCCCGTCTCCACAGTTCTCGCCATGGTATGGTAGGGACGTTGGGAAACCCATCTAGGCACCACCGCGCCATGATTTCTGGGTCATTTCCTACAAAAGCGTTAGCCCAAGGCCTGGCACCAGAAGAATGGGGCCTCATGTAGGGTTAAGCGGCTTCCCTAGGATCCCCAGGGAATGCAAGCAGCCTGGAGCGCGTTGCCAGGCAGCCAGCTTCCTGTTATCTCATCGGAGTCTCCCTGCAGCGGGCCTCAGTTTCTCTCTATCCCCTCTGCTTCCATTCCCGAAGCCCTTCGCTGCTCAGAGTCCTGCAGCATCTTCTTTGTCCAACTCCCGTCCGAACTCAAATTTTTTGTTTGTTTGTTTGTTTTCCACTCAACGAGATCCCTACACGCTTCTCTTCCTAGTCCTACTCTGCATTTTTCTTGACGTTATGGTCCCGGTCGCTCGCTGTCCTCAGGTCTGCCCTCTCCTCTCCTGCACACACCCACGGGCTCATCCCCCTCACTAGGACCCTGAGCTGTAAGGCTGCCCCGACCTCCTCATCTGTTCTTTCACCGGGCTCCTGCACCCCTCCTGCCCTGTGGACCCCCTCCACCCTCCTGAGCACCCCCTCTCAGGCCCCTTTCCGCCCCCAACCAACCGACTCCGGCCGAACGCTCCTTACCCAGCGCGA